CACTTGCCATTCCCTCCTCAACATCTCATATTTTTCCTTCCAGAAGATACCAACACTTACTAGCTACCGGTCTCTCCAGAGCTCCGGTAATCCTTCTGGCATTTCAAGAGTAAAATTGTTCTTTCTCTTTCAAGTAAGGGGGAGGGACTGCCTGAATCACAGGAATGGTTACTTCAACCAACCACCTGACTTTCTGAGGGGACAAAAGATCTTTCTCAATTGTCTTCTTTCACAACATGCCTTGCTAGCCAAGCCCTAGATGTTAGTTTGGCTCGGAAGACCACTGTAGGCAATTGGAAAAAAACCAGAACTACCCCTGGCATCGATACAGAACTGAACTTCCACGGGACAATAAAAGCAACAGGCTTTCTGTTTTCCAGTTGCAGTCATACTGCCTTAGAACCTGTTACTGATTTTCACATCTCCCTACATACTTATTCTAGAAGTTCAAAAAAGAGAAGTAGCTTTCAGGCACAAAGAGATCCTAGACACATATCCATTTCTCTTTTAGGGTAGCACTTGGAATCAGGAGAAAAGGAGAGGAAATCTAAAATGGGAAGAAAGCTCAATTATGACTCCCAAGTACACAGATCAAGGCTCATAAAGTAGGTCAGGCGTGTGCGCACGTGAATGCGTGTACGTTTGTGTACCTCAGATTGCATGTGCATGACACTTGAGTATTTGATGTTATCTCCTTAACCTCTCTCTGTTATAAAATCATTTTCACAAGATACACAACTAAAAGTCACCTTTGAAGTGATTTTTAAATACCTGCTGAACTTTGAAAATAACTAACCCTTTGGAACAAATTGCACTTTTGATGGTTTGTTTCAAAATGTCTAACGTAGGAACATGACACCATGAAACTTGAAGTCTAAGCACAAATTCTAAAATGTACTCAAAGCAAAGTTTTCCTCTTTTGGTCCTTTCATTCAACAGTGAAGTCATTTTCTAGGAGGTAAAGTTAAAAAATAATAAAGTTTCTCAGAGATTGCTCAATTGTTCTGAATTTAAATCTCTGCCCTCTGGGGAGAGTTCTTGTAGAAAAAGAAGACAAGCTTGTTATTAGGCAATAAAAGGGTTTGGATCCTTCTCTAAATCCTGCTGTTACTTTCCCTCTAAAAAAAAGATACATTTTTCCCCATTCAGTATAGGTTGCCTTGTCGGTTGATAGTCTCCTTCTGGGTGCAAAAGCTTTTTATTTTGGTATAGTCCTGATAGCTTAATTTTTGTTTTTGTTTCCCATGCCTGAGGAGACAGAGAAAATTGTTTCTACAGCTGATGTTGAACAGATTACTGCCTATGGTCTTTTTTGGTTTGCAAATGATGTATCTGAGAAGGGGTTAATATCCAAAATATATAAAGAACTTACACAGCTCAACACCAAAATAACATATAATCTGATTTTAAAATGGGCAAGGACCTGAATAGACATTTTCCCAAAGCAGACATACAAATGGACAATAGACACATGAAAAGATGTTCAACATCACCAGAATAATGGAAACCAAAATCACAATGAGGCATCACCTTAACACCTGTCAGAGTGGTTAGAATCAAAAAGACAAGAAATAGTGTTGGCGAAGATGTGGAGAAAAAGGAACCCTCATGTAATCTTGGTGGGAATGTAAATTGGTACGATCACTATGGAAAGCAGTATGGAGGCTCCTCAAAAATTTACAATTAGAATTATAACCCAGTAATTCCACCACTGGGTATTTACCCAAAGAAAACAAAAACACTAATTTGAAAGGATATATGCACCGCTGTTTATTTCAGTATTGTTTACAAAAACCAGATATGGAAACAGCCCAAATATCAATAGAAGAATGGATAAAGAAGACATGGTATGTATAATGGAATAGTACTCAGCTGCAAAAAAGAATAAGATCTTGCATCTGCAATGACATGGATGAGGGTATAATACTAAGTAAAACAAGTCAGAGAAAAATACCACATGATTTCACTCATATGTGGAATTTAAGAAACAAAACAGGGATCCCTGGGTGGCGCAGCGGTTTGGCGCCTGCCTTTGGCCCAGGGCGCGATCCTGGAGACTCGGGATCGAATCCCACGTCGGGCTCTCAGTGCATGGAGCCTGCTTCTCCCTCTGCCTATGCCTATGTCTCTGCCTCTCTCTCTCTCTCCCTGTGTGACTATCATAAATAAAAAAAAAAAAAAAAAAAGAAAGAAACAAAACACACAAAGAAACAGAAAAAAAAAAAAAAAAGCTCTTAAATACAGAGAACTGGTGGTTGCCAGAAGGGGGTGCGTGGGGTGATGAGTGAACTGGGTGATAGGGATTAAGAGTACACTTATTTTTTTTAAAAAAAATTTTATTTATCTGACAGAGAGAGAGCACACAAGAAGGCAGAGTAGTAGACAGAGGGAGAGGGAGACGCAGGCTCCCTGCTGAGCAGGATCCTAGGATCATGACCTGAGCTGAAGGCAGATGCTTAACCAACTGAACCACCCAGGCTCCCCAAAAGTACACTTATCTTGATGAGCACTGAGTAATGTACAGAATTGTTGAATCATACTGTACACCTGAAACTACTTTAACTCTATATTAATTATACTTCAATTAAAAAGAAAGGAAAAAACACGATACATTTTAAACCTACAGGGCTTTTTTTTTGGGGGGGGGGGGTCAAAATAGTCTTGCTTTTGTTTCCCTTGGAATGACAATCTAAGGGCAATCAAGGATACTGTTTAACTGGAATATATCATATACATATACTTTTAAGAAAATAGTCTAAAATTTGTATTTTGGTATTTATTTCAAATAGCAAATCAGTTTGAAAATATGTAAACCACAATTTATTTCTATACCAATTTAATTTTTCCTACTACTAAAGAAAACAATTCTTCTGAGAGCTTCCTTTAATTGTCTAAAATCATCCTTTTAAATAAACATATCATTTGATTCAACATATAAGTGGCAGCAAGAGCAGGCTGGAAAATAGACTTTATTTCAAATAAGGAAAAAGTCTGTTCTAAGAAAACGACAAAAAGACCTAAATTCAAAAGGAAAAAAAAAAAGAATAGACTTGAGAAAGTATACTTGGTTTTCTCATGTTAAATGGAAATAATCACAGCACCTACCCCACAAAACTGTCCTGAGAATAAAATGAACTCATATGTACAAAGCACTGGAAATAGTGTCTAGATGTTCAATTTAGTGCTCAAAAAATATTAGTGCTAATTATTACTAATTATTGTTACTGGCAATGGGTCATGTTATCAGGCCATCTTTTGCTTTCCCACTGGGGAAGGCAAGCAGTCTTGAAGGGATCAAATCTTTTAAAAATCTTGGCTATAAAGGATGATAGTCCTATTTCACAGGGGAAAAACAGCAAAAAACTGCTCCAGATTTCTCAAAGCCAGCAGCAAAGAGAAGGTAATTACAGAGGATCAGTGTTTCCAATCTGTGAAGGAAGAGTTATCACCTAAGAGAGAGAGGGAGATAAGGCTTGTTCTGCATTTTCCAGAGAGACAGCCTTGAATTTAACAATGGAAGTTACAGATGAACATGTCAGCTGAAAGAAAGACCCTCCGAAGTGGAAAACACTGATCTCATAAAAGGACAGGCTGCTCTGAAGGGTAGATAGCATACTGTCACTGAGCGTCAACACAGGAGTTTCCACCAGCCAAGGGGGATCAAGAAAGGCTTCCTTAGCCAGTCCCCGCTAAATGACAATCATGACAACCTCCCGGGTGATGACAGCTGACATTTCTATGGAAACTGCCTGGCACTGCTGGACTTTACGTATACTGACCCATGTAATCCTCTCCACCGCTGGGCTCCACAGCATGTGCTCCTAACTACTACAATACTCTGCCTGCCACCCACTTTTAGAAACTTGAGCAAGTTATTTAACCTCTCTCTGCCTCCACTCCCTCATTTGTAAAATGAGAATAATAGCATTTCTCTCTCAGATGATAGTGATGAAGAGTAAGTGAAATTGTTTAGTACCTAGAACAGTGTCTGACACATAACAAGTATTTTATATATAACTTTTTTTTAAAAAATAGAAAAGTCATTTCAACTTTAAAGACAATTTTCTACATGGATGGCAAGTTAGGGCAGGCATAAAGAACTGTGTTGGCTACAGGGAGCAATCTAGTTTTTTTTTTAATCATATAAGCGGAACTCAAGGCTTGCTGATTGAGGATTGATTCTCTAACAAAATCAAATTAGCCATGAAAAATATGGGCAAAACTGAAGCAGGAGTTCTGCATGAGATCCAATTCTCTGTATACTTTGTCACAGCTGATTTTAAGGCCTTGAGAAAGGGGGCCTCGTCCATCACTCACTGCTAACTTGTTACCATCCTCAAGGCCTTGGCCAGTAATTCAGCCACATTTTTAGCAGAATCTTTAATTGCTCCATACACTGGACTCAACCTAGATGTGCTTAACCAATTCTTTTTTTTAAACTTTATTTATTTATTCATGAGAGACAGAGAGAAAGAGAGGTAGAGACACAGGCAGAGGGAGAAGCAGGCTCCCCACAGGGAGCCCAATGTGGAACTCGATCCCAGGACCCTGGGATCACGACCTGAGCCGAACCCAGACGCTCAACCTCTGAGCCACCCAGGTGCTCCTGGCTTGACCAATTCTTAAACCAAGGTCAATCCAAACCACTTCTTTTGTATCTGTCATCCAACTGCAACCTCGCATCCAATGTGGCCTAGTAAACCTGCCTTTTGACCTTGAGTCACTGCTTTACAATTTTCATAAGGCAACATTAACTCTTTCTTTTGCTCAAGCTTTTAAATCTACTCCTGTCCACACTCAAATATCCTAGACTACTCAACAATTGAAAAAATAGGAGTAATCAGAAACAAATCCTTTCTACTTTAGATATACCTTCCTCCACACCCATCAACTCCTGCAACAGCAAATCAATTTAACATGTACTGATATCTTTGTTTGGGTCTTTTCACTCTTTCTGTTTTCAAAGAAAAAAAAATGCCTCCAGACCTCCTTTCCCAGGCTTTTTCTTTCTTTCTTTCTTTTTTTTTTTTTTTTTTTTAGATTTATTTATTCATGAGAGACACGTGGAGAGAGGCAGAGGGAGAAGCAGGCTCCACTGGGGAGCCTGATGCGGAACTTGATCCCAGGACCCCGAGCCATGACCTGAGTCAAAGGCAGACACTCAACCACTGAGCCACCCAGGTATCCCCTGACTCCTTCTTCTATACGCTGATGCTACCCTGGAAATGTAGTTTACATCACCTTCCTTGGTTTGTTGTTCTGGCAATGATTCCCATCTTCCACCTCTCTCTTGGACCTTCAAACTTTTTGTACTCCTCTATAAATGTGGCCGTAAGAAAAAAAAAAATCTTAGTCCTGTTTCCCTCATAAGCCTGGTCACTTTCCCCATCTTACTGCCAAATATTTAAGAGTGGTCTCTTCTATAGGTGTATGACCAGCTGAACTAACCTAATAAACCTGAATTACTGGAAGGCATCCTGATACAGGTTATTCTTGATTACAATCAATCTTTTAAGTACACTTAAAGGTTCTGATGTCCAGCAGTCGCAGATTTGGTGACCATTTTTTTCCATTTTCATGGTGTTTATAACAGACACAATAAAGGAAAATATACCACAGAGCTTTGTTATATAGAACAGACTGTACTTTAACTAAATGTTGATATGTGCACTGGGACTTTCAGCAGAGTTTATAGCTTATCAATACTCATATCTTACAAATGTTTTTTGAAGGATAGTTCTCACGTGACCTAAGCCCTTACAGTCTACAAAGTAATGACTAAGTTTATGAACAATAATATGACAATGTAAATGGTCTACATAAACTCTTAGAGCCTCACCTGATTTAAAATTTACCACCTATATAGAAAAATAAGCTTATGGATGTGAAGGTTTCCCTGTACCTTCAGAGAAAATGATCTGGTAAGAGGATCTAATATGGGAGAGAAGATGATGTATTTAATGAGAAGGAAGCAAGCCAGTGAGGGTGGGGTACAGAAAACAAGAAGGAGGGGCAAGGGTCAGATCCCCCAGGGCCTCCCGGGCCAGAATTAGTATTTTGGTATACCACAAACATAACAGGAAGCAAATGAAAAGCCTTAAGCTGGGCGATGGAAGATCAGATATGCAATTTTAAGAGGATTACTTTAGCTGCTGTATGGAGAATGAATGGACAGCCTACCAGAGACAGTGTGAGAGGGAGAGGTGGGAATTACGCTAGAAGTCTCGGAGGGAAATGAATGGTAGCCTGGGTTGGGGTGGCAACAGAGATGAAAACAAAGTAATAGATTCTGGAAGAGAAAATCACTAAGACTTGGAGAAGATTCGGAGGAAAGAAAAGGAAGAGAGATGTCAAGGGTGTGGTGGTTCCTGAATTTATATACATATATACATGAAAATGAGGGGTAAAACATCTTATACAGTATATCTTGAATTAACAGAAATTAGCAACGGGAAGGGAAGATGAATTTTACATAGTAAAAGGCAGACTTGCATTTTTTACTATATAGGTATCTGCATTGTTTAAATACTTTTATAATCAGCAGGTATACATTCTTTCATAGTTAAATTAACATGCAATAAAAAAAGAAACAAAGCACTTGCCTGGCTGAAAAGGACAGGAATGGCATTTTAGGGGAAAAGAACAATCCATCCAAAGGCACAAACACATGAAAGTACATGGCATATTTAAAGAATATCAAGTAGTCTAGTGTTTGCAGAGTAAGAAGGAAGGATGTGTGTCGGGGTAGGATGAGCAGGGCTGTGAAGCTGTTTTACAATATGCCCAGTTCACGAAGGACAGTATTATATGCCAGGTTACAGAAAGCATTCCCTACACCGTGGGAAATGAGGATGCACATCGAGTTTTCAAGCGGGAGGGGGGGGGGAAATCAAGTTTATATTTCAGAAAGATCACTTTAGAGGTGGGGTGAAGACCAGGCCAGAGGGGAGGTGGGAAATCACTTAGGCTGGAACCTAAGCTGAATCAGAGGCAACAGAAGCAGTGAAGGGGAGAGGTCTCAGGTTCACTTCAGTAGACGGGACTGAGTGATCACGCTGGATGTGACAGGGAAAAAGGGAAAGTCAAAAACGCTTTCTATGGTTTCTCGTTTAGAAAATCAGCGAGCACATCAATTTAGGTAACTCAAGAACAGGTTCGATGAAAAGCTACTAACTTTTGTTTTGGAGATGCTGAGGTTACAGTACGTCTGGAAGCAGATCAAGGTACCCAACAGGAAGTTGGACATACAGGTTTGAACTGGAGGAACAAGGTCAGGACTGGCACACATGAACTATTACCCAGAACAGAGAATTTTAAGCCTGTGGACACAATCTTACCCTCAACATAGTTTCATTGAACTCTTAAGGCAACTTTCAAAAGTTGACTAGTTCCATTTATTCTCGTAGTTGTAAAAAAATTCCACATAATTGTTAAAGTCTCTGTAGGCAGTTACTTAAAGAAAGCCGGAGCTTTTTGTCTTGGTCTCTTTTATTTCTTCCCCTTTTTTTGTCTGCCATTCTTTCTATCTATCTAGTAAAGGAAGATATAGGAAGGTATAATATAAAAACATTTGTTATTAAATATTTTCATATTTTGTCTTAGTTGTAAAAGGCAAAGAAAAGAACATTTCACAATTCTACCTTTAACAAAATCTAAGTTAAATAACGATTTACCTATGTGACTCTCCACTGATTTTTTTTTTTTCTCTTGCAAGTCACTGACCCTTAATCAACTGGCATCCCCAAGGCAGTCAAATCCAGCTGTGGCTTTAACTACACAGGTTCCTGCAACAATTCCACAGTTCTGTTGTTGCTCACTGTCGGAAATCCAAGTCACACTGTACCTCTGTCTAACCGATGATGCCCTAGTTTGGTGGGAGGTGGAGAGGAAGGACCTGTTGGCAAGGAAACAGCCGCTTCCTTCCTGAGCCAGGGAAAACCAGGAAGGTAACAGATGGGCAGAGCAGAAAAGCAGCCAAAAGTTGCTCTGGCTCCTTGTTGGCAGGGATTTTCACTGAGGCACAATTGGATATTTTAAAGCATATCAATGATTGAGAGATTTTTATCTGCCTGGGTGCTCTGGTGAAGTTCAACAGGGCTTCCCACATTCTCTACATCTGAGAAACTTTTAAGTTTTCAGTGGTACAAAGGACCTGGTCTCAGCCTATGTACAGTGGGCTAAGACTGCAAGGCACTGTCCCATGTCCCTTCAGGATTATACCCAAGAGAATGCACTTTCTGGTCTAGAAAAAATTTTTAAACTTTTCTGTAGTTATATTGGCATGACTTATTAGAATTACTATTAAAACTTCTTTAGAAAATGCGTTTGTTTACTTTTATATAGTTAATTTAAAAAGACTTGTTGCAAACTTTTATATTTTGTTTTTATCATTCCCCCCTTGCAGCCACTTGTGTACCCAGAAAATTAAATATCCGAGGATTCCTGGGTAAAATAGATGACCACTGGATCACTATGTTATAACTAACATATTTTTAAAAACCGCTGTAAGTAACTAGGTTATCCTCCATCAAATAGAAATTAGCAACCACTGGAAAAATAACATTAAAAATTAGTGTGGGCATGAAATATGGAATTTTAAAACATCAGTTTACTATACTGATTAATTCAACATTTATATTTGCATCAGAACTTAATAATCCCATAAATAAATAGAGCTCTCGATTATTTTAAAAAATCAAGGGATAACATATGTATTTAAACATATTAGCAGCATAAAGACGTATGCTTCAACACACTTATTGGAAAACGTCTGAAAATATCACTACACTGAATTCAAGGGCACCCGCAGGAACCTGACATAAGTTCTCTAGAGTAACAACATCTCAGGAAATTAAAAAAAAAAAAAAAAAAAAGAGGAAAGGGTCGAATAGGAAATAGCCTCAAATTAATTGACAAAGTTCAGTGCTTGCTCCAACTTGATTTTTCTCTCCATTGCAAAAAAAAACAAAAACAGAAAACAACGAGTCTCGGGATGGGAGGGTGAATCACTTAGATGAAAGTTCATCTACTGGAATAAATGGAGAGGCCGCTTGGGCAGGCGACACAGGAGAGTCGGTGGTAGTGCTGACTTTCGCTGGTGAGTTACAAGAAGATCCGGCGCTGCTGCTGTTTCCGTCAAGGGTATCAGACGATACACACACGCCAGGATCTGACAGCTGTGCAACGTCAGAAGAAAGCATGTTGGTGATGCCCTGGAAAAACCTCTTTGGCTGATACTCAGTTTCCATTTCACATTTTCTTTTCAGTGGTCCAAGAACACTTGGTCTAATGCAATTGATGGGACTCTGGCTTCTCCGGGTAGTAAACCGAGTCGTTGGGCTGGGAATAGGGCTCGGAGGCAATCCATTGCTACTCACAAAACTTTGCAAGGATGGTGAGAAGCACTGCTTCCCGATCCCCCGGGTGGGTGAGGGCGCTGGTGACACCGGGATGAAATCGATGCGCTTCGGGGAGGCGGACTTCTCGGCGTCGTTGTCACTCAGGCTGAAACTTTCCTCCCAGGAGTGGCTTATCTGCATGGCGTTCTGCACCTCGCGCTCGTGGACGGTCTCTCGGTTGATGAGGTCCATGCCCTCCTCCTGCTTGATCTGGTGCAAGCGGCTGCTGTGCATGCGGACCGGGGAGGCCGGCAGCAGCAGGCCGTGGCGGTTCGGGAACGTCGTGCTGTTCCGCCGGGCGCTCGGCGCCTCGGCCTGGAACACCGGCGAAGTGTCACTGAGGCCGTGGATCAGGGGGGCGCTGTTAGACCTCCGGAGGCCCCCGCCCGCGCCGCTGCCGCCGCCCTCCGCCGGGCTCCCGCCAGCACCCGGAGGCAACTCCAGGTCTAGCTCCATCTTCTCCTGAGCCATGTCGGGGGCAGGGAGGCGGGGGCGGCGCTCAGAGACCTGGGATTCCCATTCCCCGCGGTCCAGGGCCAGGGCCACCGCCGCCGCCGCCGCCGCCGCCGCCGCCAATCTGTCAGCGGGCTCGTCCTCTTGCGCATGCGTGCCCCTCCGCGCAGGCGCCGTGAGACTTCTCTCCCCGCGGCGCCTGCTTAATGCGTCATAGCCCGAGGGGGAGGGGCGCCGAGTGGTCCGGCGGCGGCCGTTCAGCCCTTCTCTTCCGCGATTAGCTGCTACTACCGAGCCGCAAGCTCGCGGCGACGCGGCTTCCGAAGGTTACCATAGTCCCCGGAGTCTGGGTGTAGCAGAGCAGAGCTCTGAAAGAGAGGCGGGTGGCGATGTGGGGGCCGTACGAAGGGGAGCGGAGCTTGGCCTAAGCAGGGAGGGCTTCCCTGAGGAAGGGGCCGTCTCCTGACCTTCGGAGGACACGGAACGGGCGCGGGCTGCGGGGCTGCGGGGCGTCCAGGAAGGGGAAGAAGCCTGGTGGCCGGCGGGAGCCAGCAGGGGGGCGGGGCTGGCCTGCCGGAGGGGGAGGTGGTGGCCCGGGCGGCCAGAGGCTGGCCCTGATCCTAAGAACAATGAAAGCTCGGGGGCGGGGGGGGGGAGGGGGGGTCAAGGAAAGGGTGTTCTCCCCGCAGCGAAGCTTGCAGGCTGCTGTCTGCAGAGAATGGGGTCGTTGGGAGAGGAGAAGCAACAGGAGGGAGGCCGGAGGAGAGGCAGTCCTGGAAGCAGGGGTGGGGGGTGAGGGGGGGGGGTGCTGTTGAGGCCCGGGAGTGAAAGCCAGCCTGTCCCTGGATCCCTCTTAATCTAGTCCCGTTTCTTTCTTTTTTTTCCCTGTATTATTCTATTTTTTTTATTTATGATAGTCACAGAGAGAGACAGGCAGAGAGACAGGCAGAGGGAGAAGCAGGCTCCATGCACCGGGAGCCCGACGTGGGATTCGATCCCGGGTCTCCAGGATCAGGACCTGGGCCAAAGGCAGGCGCCAAACCGCTGCGCCACCCAGGGATCCCCTCTAGTCCCGTTTCCAGCACGAGCATGTGTGCTCCAAGATCATCTTCATTCCCTACGAGGGTTTAAACGAAGGCAAAAAGTAAGAGGGCTTCACGCTCTAAAAACACAACGCTCAGCTTAGGTAATTAAATTTTGGTATCTCATGAAAATCACGGTTTGGGGTTTTTTGTTTGTTTGTTTGTTTTGTTTTTGCATACCTACTATGCACTAATAAGCACTGGTAGGAAGGAGGCCCTAATAGGAGGGCATTTCATTTCTGCTGCAAGGAAAGAGAGAGATGAATAAATAAAGCTGTTTTCAGATCGTGGTAAACCTTAGGAAAGGGGGGGGAAAGGATGATGTGATAGAGCACTACTGATAGAAAGGGGGGGCGGGCAATTAGGACGGAGATCTAAATTCCAGATGCAAGTCACGCTGACATCAGGGGGATGCATACTCTAAGCACAGAAGACAGCACGTGCTAATAAAGCCCTAGACAGATGTCAGTTTGGTGAGCTGGCGCCAAGAGAAGAAAGGGCAGCTGAAACCCAAGGGGGGGGCGGTGAGTGGTTGTGAGGGCGCAGAAGAGTCTGGATCTCTCATCCCAAGTACAATGAAAAGCCACTGGGGAGTTTAAAGCAGGAGAGTGGTGTTACCTGGTTTAGGTTTTAAAGATCGCTTGGGCTGGGTGGGAATTAGGCTGAAAGTTGGCAAGGGTGGGAGCAGAGAGGCCGATTAGGAACCGACCGCCAAGGCGCAGGCAGAGGATCCGGCTAGGGTTGCAGCCGCGGTGACAAGGAGAAGTAGAACCAACAGGACAGGCCTCAGATGGGTTGGATTTAGATGATGAAATGAACAGGCCATTCAAAGGCAACTCCTAGGTTTCCTGCTTCCCCTGGATACACAGCATGGTCATTTACGGAGATAGGGATGGAGTGGGTTTCAACAGGTGGGAATTAAGACTTCTCTCTTCGGCGATGTGAGTTGCAGGTGGCTATCAGACAGCCATGTGGCTGTCTGAACCGAAAGAAAGCTTAGTGATTTTTGTTCATTCTTCTCTTTTTGCAGCTGAAGGAAAAAAAGTGACGTTCAGCATCACACAGCTTGTTTAGTAGTGCGAACCAGTACTAGGATCCAGGTTCCTAGCCTATGCCTCTTTTTCCACTGTTATCTCAGAATAGCTTTTCATTTGAATTCCCTGTGAAGTATACAGGTCCTAATGATATAATAATGTTGATTAGTCATGCTTATAATTATATACAAACTGATTTAAGCTTGCCAGGTGTCAGGCACTATTTAAAGGGCTTCACATGTAGTACCTTATTACTTACCTCCTCAAAACAGCCCTTTCAAGGAGGTATTATTGTCCTCATTTTGCAGGGGAAACAGATGCAGAAATTAAGCAGTGTCCCCAGGATGAGAGTAAAGGGCAGAATCTGAGCGTTCTGGCTCCAGAAAGCCTGGGCACCATGTTGCCTCCTAAAAGTGCAATGATGTTTTAGAATTGGGAGAAGCCACTTCCAGATTCTTAGCTTTGCAAAGGCAACAGTACTTGAGGCAGGATTTAAAGGATAGGTAGGATTTTTATGGAGCGATGGTCTTTTTCATAGAGATGCGGCAGCATGACAAAATATTGAATTTGCTAGTACGTGATGTGATGTACATGGAGAAGAACAATAATGGGGAAAAACTTGGAAATAGAAGTGGAAGTGAGAGAACCAGGGCTCTGAATGCCAGCCAAAAGGACCCAAATTTAACATCTGAGGCAATAGGAAACTGTGGAAACTTTCCGACAAGAGGAATGACGCTATGAGAACTATACTTTAGGACCTGCCAGACAGCTCAATGATGGAGTGAAGTCGAAGAATGGAAGGGGGAAGAACCAACACCCACGACTTGCCAGGCACTTTAAACACTCCACAGTCCCACTGCATCCTCATTGCAATCCTACAAATTAGATATTGTTATGCTCATTCTATAGCAGGACAGCTGAGGTTAAAAAATGGCAAAAGGAGGGCATCTGGGTGATGCAGTTGGTTAAGCATCCGAATCTTGGTTTTGGCTCAGGTTGTCATCTCAGGGTCATGAGACTGAGCCCTGCATACTCAATGTGGAGTATACTTAAGACTCTCCCTCTCCCTGTGCCCCTTTCCCTGTGCTCACTCTTGCTCACTCTCTGAAATAAATCTTTTTTTAAAAAATTTGCAAAAGGCCCTACAGCTACCGGAAGAACAAAGACCTGAGCCAATCTGAATTAAGGTCCTACTTCAAAACCTGCATTGTTTTTGCTGCCTTTCCCACAGATTAGAGAAGGAGAATCTGATGGCTAAACTGCGAGACAAAAGGAAGGTCTAAGCTCAAATTGGGAACGGCAGGGAGCGGCAGAAAAAGGAGATGGATTTGAGAGACAGGAAGGTAACCACAGCACCCGGCTCCTTGCATTTATAGAGGATGAAGAGAGAGGTGTCACAAATGACAAATTCAAGCATGAGTGGCTAAGAATGGTACCTTATTAAATAAAAACAGGAGAGAGATGAGGAAGAGCCTTCAGAAGTAAATTAATATAGGATAAATAGAAAAAAGCATGAATTATGGAACTTTTTAATAGTCACAGCATAATGCTAATTTTTGTATTAAATTATTACTCGTGGCTCAAAGGTGCCAACATTGTTCATCCATGTCTGGATAAGAACAGTTATCTTTGGGGCAGCCCTGGTGGCACAGCAGCTGCCTGCAGCCCGGGGCGTGATCCTGGAGACCAGGGATCGAGTCCCACATTGGGCTTCCTGCAGGGAGCCTGCTTTTCCCCCTGCCTGTGTCTCTGCCCCTCTCTCTCTCTCTCTGAATAAATAAATAAATCTTTTTTTTTAAAAAAAAAGAACAATTATCTTTATTAAAAGCACAAAGATGGCGAAAAGTCTACAAAATCAGACATCCGTGCCTTTTGGTTCATTCCTGAACACACCGATTAGCTATCTTTACTCATTTCCTTGTTTCTACCCCTGTCTCTGTAAGTCAGTTCTCCAACCAGTGTTGAAGGTAATCCTAAAGGGAAGACTTGAATAGAACCTTTCAGGGGAATTCCCAGAGAAAAAAATCAGTGTCATTACAGCAGTCATTAGAGCCCTATGGGATCCGGGTCCCTACTGTCCCTCTGACCCCACGTCCAGACATTGTCCCCCTCACTGCCTTCCCTCCAACTTCAAAGGCCCTTTTACTATCCTCAGCTCACTAGGCATGCTCCCTCCTCCACTTGGCTTCCTCTTCTTCCGGTGGACATCCACATGCTCCATCCCTTCAGGTCTTTATACAAATGTCATTGACTAAGAAGCTTTCCCCAACCTTCCCTTATAAAAACCAACAGCAGTTCATGACATCAAACGTACACTCACTCCCATACCCCTTACACTGCCTATATTTTCCTCTAGAGCACCAAATGACATATGTATATAGAGTTTTCTTGCCTCTTATCCTTGTCAAGAAGGTCAGCTCCACAAGAACAAGGGCTTTGCTTTGTTTCCTGCTATATGCCTAATACCTAAACCAGAGCCTAGGACATAGGACTCAGTAAGTAGTTGAATCACTGTGCAAATAAATGATTGATGACTGAATGGACTAGCACAGCTTTGTCCAGAAGGGAAGAAAACCCTGTTGTCCAGCTTAACAGGCTTTTCTCCACTGATTCTAAGTACTTTGACAAATCCTTTTCTCTTATCGATATTATTATTAAAGTGCCCTCCCGACCACACAGGTCAATCGCTTGAATGAACCGTTACGTGAACTATGAAACCAAAGGCCTAAGTTTCCACTCCTTTTCAACCATATGCTGATACACTCTTGATAGAATTAAAATGCTCAGTGCTGAAGATTCTAAGCAGTGTTTAATATATTTAGTTACTGCTTCCTCTCAAAGGAATAAAGGATAAATGAGAGAAAACAGCAGCCATAAAATGCAATTCAGCCTGTTACAAATGAGTAATGCCAGAGGCAGGATTCAGGAGATTGTCCCTGAGTCAATTCATCCTTCTGGTTTCACTCTGGGTATGAATTAAATACCACACTTAGACAGTTGATATTCATGCTCACTCCTGAGTCA